ACCATGTGGTCAAGGTCAGACATCCTGAATGAGCCTTGTATCAAAAGCACAAATATATGATTTTCTAAAATGAAACCATATTGAAATGACTCATCCCAAATAATTCATAAATTATTTTAGTCTATAACATGTATATGGCACTTTTCACATATTGCCTCCTATTGTTTTTTTTATTAATATTAGCAGTTTATCTTTCTTACTTGGTTGGGAACACCTCAACAACAGACATAATATCTTATTTGTCTGTATAATCCTATACAATATCTCATACACTGTTTCACACATGGTAGTTTTCTAAACTCTAGTTTTCTAATCATGAAAGCCTAACCCTATTAAAAACAGAAAGTTGCTTTCCTAAGTCTAGTGAAATGGCCCATTGTGGCCTCTTCTTCTGAGACCTACTGTTGTGATGGGAGTTGAATGAGGAAAATGATACATTATTAATTTCCGAATTCCAAATAGATAAAAGGTAAGTAATTGTCAATTAATAATTTCGTATTCCCAAGGGGGAAAGGTAGAGTTGTGGATAGACTGCTGAACTTGGAATAAGGAGGATCTGGATTTAAGTTCTGCCTATGATTTTTACTAGCTGTATGATCATGGACAAGTCACTTAACCTCTCTGAATCCCCAGTAACTCTAAGATATCTACTACAGATGATTGCTTCTCTAATTGGAGGAGGGAGTTCCTGACATACAGGTGTTTCACACACACACACACACACACACACACACACACACACACACACACACAACATATATACACACAGATGTGTATACATATATGTGTACATATACACACATATGTACACACATATGTACGTATATGTGTGTGTATATATGTATATATATGTATATATACATACACACACACACACACATACACGTGTGTGTGTATATATATTCCCATGGATAGCTAAGGAGGTATGCTTAGCCTGTGGTGCATACCCCCTTACCAGAGGGAACTCACAATTCTCTATGCCTTACCAGGCTCTTAGAGCAGTTGATTGTTATCCCTTGGATCTGACCTTTTATGGGTAGTGATGTTTTCTTACATTAGTGTAGGGTTTTATCTAAATCATCCAATCATATCTCATGGCTCATTTTGCCCCCATTCCACTAGCTCCTCTCATTCATTATATTCTTCAATATGTTTCTCATACAAGGGCATTTGAAAAGATATACCTATACAAAGGCTTTAATGAACATGGTGATAATAAATCAAAACAGGTTGATTTCAGTTCACCCAATGCACACCTTTATAAATCTCAATCTCCTACTCAGCCCTACTCCCCAGGTAGCATGGAGGAAAAAATGCATTCCTTTCTTTGCTTAGCCCTCAGCCAGTAACTGAGTAAAGGGTTGGTTTTTTGTTTTGTTGGTTTTATTTTACTCACAAACTGGATAATAACCAGATGTATGCTAATAAATGCAGAAATTTCAGGGCATTTAGTGTCTTTTCTGAAGGTTACACACACTGGTTGCATTTGCCTGGGCAAATGGGACAGGAAGATGCTAGCTTTGGGACTTCAGGCAGAATCTGAAGCGGTGCTGGGCTTTGACAAAGGTTTTACTTAAACGGTAGAGCCTGAGAGTAATACATTTAAAGTCTTCAATGGCATGGTCTGGAATTCTATAAAGTCACATCTCCTACACTGTTACCTTCCAAGCCTCAAACCATCCTTCCCTGCACCCCAACCCCATCCCTTCTCTAGGCACTATGCATCCCAGAAGGCAAACAGCACAGGAAGCTGTGCCAAAGCATCAGGGTACCACCAGTCCTGTTGAATAACTTACAAAACATCGGAATGAGTTAAATAACAAGAGAGAAGATACAACCTACAAGACCCAGTGAAAGAATAGTAGGACAGCATGTGCCTTGGGAGTTCAGAGAAAACAATGAGGCACCTCTCACCAGCATAGCACATGCTGTGGTGCTGCTCTCCCAAACTTCCACTCACACTGGCAGGTCAGGTCCCCAGAATTTGGGGGGTTACTTGTCACCTCAGTTTCCTAGAGATAGCCCTGAGGGATTGGAGGTGTCTTTCCTAGTGTGATAATCTAGTTCACAAGCCCCCCAGCAGAGGTTTTGCTCTCCCATAGTTATCCAAACTTAATTAGCTTTGAGTTAAAAGTATTTACTAAAGTGGTATAGTAAGAATGGGTAGCTAGGTGGCATAGTGCATAGAGTGATGGGCCTGGGGTCAGGAAGACTCATCTGAGTTCAGATCTAGCCTCAGACATGTACTAGTTGTGTGACCCTGGGCAAGTCACTTAAACCCTAATTGCCTCAGTTTCCTCATCTGTAAAATGAGCTGAAGAAGGAAATAGCAACGGAGTCATGAAGAATCAGACACAACTGAAAACAACTGAACAACAACATAGTGAAAACAATTAGTATATACATTCCTCCAAAAGACTGTGACACACACCAAAGTCTGTCCCACAAATATATGTAGAGTCCAGGGGAAAGTGGACTCAAACTTAAACACATATAGCAAAGTAGTAACTCATAGCTTCTGGCTGCTGGGAGTCCCTATCTCCCTTTCATGGGCTACTCATAAAGTTTTCCTTAGGCATGTTGTAAATTTTATGCTGTGTACTTTGCTGAACTTTGAACAGGCATTTTCCTCATTGAGTTGTCTTTTCTTGATCTGTCATGCAGATACTGATGCCAGCCACTACTGTCCCAGAAGTGCTACTAGGATGCCAGTAAAATAGTCCAAATTCTTTGGTCCTTTGAAATTTACAAAGTCCTTCCCCTCCTCCTGACAAAGTGGAAGCAGAAGGGAGAGACTGAGCTGCTCCCCACCCCCTACTCCAAGCAATTCCTTCTAAGGGGCTTAGCTGGAAGATTTCCATCTAAAGCTTCCTGATGCCCAAATCTCTAGTTCCCAAACTGTCTCACGATTTTATAGAGGGCCCACAAAGTAAGACCCAGTGTCCTCAATCAACTGGAACAATTGAAACATGTGCTCCCCCAATTAAGGTATCAGAGGGCAACCTTATCGCTTATTTAAGAAGTTTGGAGCAATTGATCAACTCAATGACCCCACCTCTTACACCAGCAGGCCAGTCCCCCAGCTTTGGTTCTCTTAGCTTCTAAAAATCGAGTCATCATAATCTCTCTTTTTGCTTTGAATTAAGTTAACTTACCTGGCTTATTCCAAGAATCCTACAATTTGCTCAGTTTCCTCATGGTACTTTTAAAAAACTCTATCCCTTCTCAGAAACTGCATCTGTTTATAAAATTGTCTTACGCTGACAATATGCCTGGTTCTTTTTTTTTTCTTAATTGTAGCTGGATTGCTGCTCTGAAGGGCAGGATCTTCATTTTTTCTGAGTTCTATAAAGCTATATATAAATAATAACTTTCCTGCTGCTTTGGCCATGTAAAAATTGTAAAATGCCACATAGAACACTAAATACCACATCATACGGTGACAGACGCACTGATGTATTGGCAGGAGCTCTTGTCTTGTAAGCAAAGCTTGACAGTCTTTACTTAGTGATTTTTCTAAACTGTAAGACATCTTTTTTCTTTGACAACCCTTCTTATATTTTTAAAGCCATCTTTCGAATGTCTTTTTTTTTTAACACATTCACACAGTAAATTGGTTCATATAATCTAAACTCACTAATAGAATGCCCTTTGGCTCTTTGGTCTTTTCAAGCATTCTGTTTCTAAATCATGGTTACACTATGATTACATGAAAGTGTGTATGGTTTCATTTCAGATCCAACAGTTAAAATGTCCAAAAAATTTATTAAGTCCAAAGAATGTCTTATCTCTAATAAAACACCTTGCCAACTAATGTGTTTGTTTTTTTTTAAAAATGTTTAAAAGTAAGGCTAAATTCCATTTTTATAACTTTGAAACCTCTGAGAACAAATTAATTGTGTAATTTGGGTAAATGGCACAGGGTTGTTTTTTTTTTTTATTCTGAACTTAAGAGGCACCAAATAAAATTGCACTTCCATATACAAAATAGAACAGGAAGAAAAGTATACATGAAACTTCAAATCTTTTTTACTTATAGCCTGCTTTTCCCTTTAAGTATATAATAAATTCAACATGAACCTTTAAAAGCTGCCCTGCTTGTCTATGGTTTCTTCTGTCCTTCTGTTCTTTTTTTGTGAATTTAAAAAAAAAGTTTCAGTTGCCTTCTTTCTTTCATTTTTGGTAGAAGAAACACTTTTATTAGCTTGCCTCTCCCACCCATTCTCTGTCTCAACATATTGAATGGGTATATGGCTTTGTAAACATTTATATGATTCCAAAGAAATGTCATCTAAACTCTCAACAGTATAATAGCATATGGTATGGGCAGAGAATTGAGGATAAGTGACAGCTGTGTTTATATCAGTGAGTGGCCATCCAGTTCTGAAGGTATGTTCTAATGGGCTGTTGTGGTCCAAATGTCAGAAAATGTCTATTGAATGCCCATTGGGTTCTTGGCACTGTAAGAAGCTACAAAAAATAAAGAAGTCTGTCTGGATGATAGCTGTGGGTGCTTTGCCTCTTTTTTCCTTCCTCAGCATTTTTTTTCCTGCCAGTATTTGGATATATCACCTTTGAAAACAGAAAATAACATCCAGGTCTACCTTTCATTCTTGGATTTCTGAAAACACACTTTTAGCAAGTACCCTGGCACCATGTACAGTGTTCTCTGCACATAGTAGGCACTTAATAAGTGGTGAATTTATGAATAAGCAAATAAAAGAATGAATGAATATTATGATTCTGGTATGGCTGAATCAGAGTATTGAATGAATCTTCAACATAATTCATAAAATGAAATATTCTCAAAAATGCCATGATTTTAAACTGTACAGATTTTGTAGATTATCAAAATTATATACCCTCAAAGGACATTCTCTTTTTGTATAGTTGCTAGGCAAAATGTCTGTGTGTTTAATTCTGAGGTATAATTTTTATGCATCTTGCTCATATGGTTCTTCTGTGTTATGTTCTTTTACTCTGCCCTTTCACATGTACAGGTCTTCTTTGACATAAGAATTGGAGACAAAGACATAGGCAGAATTGTAATTGGCTTGTTTGGCAAAGTTGTACCCAAGACTGTGGAGAACTTCATTGCTCTGGCAACTGGAGAAGTATGTCTGGTTTATTTTCTTTCAAACTATATACAAGTTAGGATTTTATTTCCACTATTCAAAGTAAAAATATGCCTTTGGGCAAATAGATGTTAAAACTGTAGCTGCAAAAGAAACAGCGACTCTTTTATTGGGCAGATCCTCCTTTTTAAGTTTTGTGTTTTCCAGGCATTCTTGGTACCTTGGATTCCAGGAGTTGACGTTTTGGGGAATGGGTGGAGGAAGGGGGAGAGAAAATCAAGGAAAGGAATCTGGAGGTTAAGTCATACTTATATTACTGCTGGTAATAGCTTAGCATTTCACTGGATTGTAGAGTTAGACGTAGAAAGTGCCTTAGGCGTTATCTAGTTCAACTCCCTCACTTAACAAATGAGGAAACTGAAACCTGGAGAGAGGAGGGGATATGTCTAAGGTCACACAACTACTAAACAGCACAGCTAGCTAAGGTCAATTACCGACTTTCTTTTCTTGATACCTCATCACAAGAATCTAGTTAGCTCCTCCAGGTCTAGAGCCATTTTCTTACTCCGAATGCTAGGGTTTATCTATTCAGTAGTTTAAAACTATTGTATATGCAGTTGAAGTTTTTCTCTTTAGAAAGGATATGGATACAAAGGAAGCAAATTTCATCGTGTGATCAAAGATTTCATGATTCAAGGAGGAGACTTCACTGCTGGAGATGGCACTGGAGGTAATTTTATCTTTTTCCTATTCACCATAATATAAAAAAATTAGCTTTGCCTAAGCCTGAACCCACAAACTTGCAATTGCCAATAACAATTATTATTCAAACCAACATTCAAACTAATTTTTCAAAATTAAATTTTATTTTATTTTCGGTAAGATTTACCTTTTCTCTCTTCCTCCTCCCCTATCCCTACCATTGTAAAAGCAAGAAAAATTGATCCCCTATTAGAAACACACATAGTCAAGCAAAAAAAATTCCTGCATTGTCCTTCTCCAAAAAAACAAAAACAAAAACAAAACACCTTAATCTGAACTCTGAATTCACCACCTCTCTGGAGGTGGGAAGTCTGTTTCATAAGGAGTCCTGTGCAGTCATGGTTGGTCATTATGCTGCTCAGAGTTCCTAAGTCTTTTAAAATGTTTGTCTTTCCAATATTGTTATTGTATAAATGGTTTGCCTGGGTTCTGTTCACCTCATTCTGCATCAGTTTATACACATCTTCCTAAATTTCCCTGAGATCATCTATTTCCTCATATCTTATCAATTTCCTCATCACATTCATATACGGTGAATTGTTCATCTGTTCCCCAAGTGATGGACATATCCTCAATTTCCACTTCTTTGCCACCACAAAAAGAGCAGCTATAAATATTTTTGCATGTATGGGTTTTCTTCTTTCTTTTGATCTTTTTGAGTTATAGACTTGGTATAGTTGGTGGTCAAGATCAAAGACCAAGTGGAAAATTAAATAGGTCAACAGGAACAATGAGAATGGGGAATCAGACCATTTCCATTGGTTCCCATCCAGTGTCCAGTATTACCTATGGAAATAAAGCAACAACAGTACAGGCCAGGTTCTAGAGTTCTCCTTCCTAACAGCCCATATCCTCTTTCCTAGGTGTAGTCACTTCTTTTCCCACCAGTCTATATAGGAGGAGTATCTAGTGGACATGATCCACAATATTCTACCCAGTCCCATGGCCCACTATTTCAACTGAGAACTATTTATTCTCACCAACTGATTTCTAACAGATTGCTTCCCACTCCCTGCCTCACCTAGGGTCCCCTCAAAATCTGTGACCATAGGCCCTGGTGTCATGAAAGAGAGCCTACATAATCTATTTGTTGATAAATGGTAACTATTACCCTCTGGGAGATCTCCCCTAAGGGTTCCCTTCCTATGTGGCAATGGAGTTGGCAGGAAGTACAACTAGCCCTCACTTCGTTGGCTTCTTCTTGGGTGAAGTAGAGGCCAGTGGGGGGGTCCTGAACAATGTATTCATTTCCATGGCCAATTTGAGCATGGATCCATCATGCTATCGAGGGGATTTGTTGGGTGCAGATTTGACCAGCCATGTTATTCCAATTGGATTTCTCAGGGAAGGGTCCCCTTAGGTAGACAGATACATGAGTGACATGCAACTGTCGGTTTTTTATTTTGGCCGCTGTGGGGCCTATAGGGCTGTTATTTCCCCTCCACTTCCTCTTCCTGGGTTGGACTTGATATTCCAACTAGTTTGACACTCTTCAGTGGAGGGGTTGCCACTACAATCCATTTGATAGGCTGAAATGGTCCCAATTGTGGCAGTTACTTGAGTGCCCCACAAGGTGGGACTCATAAAATGTGTAATTCCCTCATCTGGCAACTGGATAGTCATTGGGACATGTGGCTTGTGGTACCCTCAGAGGAATGGCCAGGCTAGAGGCCACTCCTCATCCCCACTATTGTTGGCTTGTTTTAAAGGGAGAGGGGTGAGATCAGGATAGAGGGCAGATATCTGGGGTGTATCTTCTTCCCCTACCTCAGAGGGAGGTAGACACAACAGAGTTAGTGGTCAGACGCCTCAGTCCAGCACAGCTCAAACCTTCTAAAGTAGCTCCTCTTCCTCCAAAGTATTCAGAATCCCACTATTATCTGTTCTAAAAGTGATTCCTATCCCCCTTCCCAGATCCTCCTTTTTCCCATATTACTATTTGTCCCTGCCTAGTTATCTGTAATGTCTTTGTGTCTCTAGACTGCTGCATGAGAGTGAGGGGGTGGGCATGGAGTATCTGTTTCCCACTACCAGATTGCTCCCCACCCTCCTGCTTCGCCCACCTCTCTACTGTGGAGACCCTAGGTAAAGCTGGTAGCAATTCCTCACTACCAGTTTTAGTTCTTAAAGAAGCCCCTACAACAGGTCTTAGTTCACAATCAGAAATTATCTTCATGAAGGTCTTTCTACTTATATTTGTCATGAGAATGGCAATATGAGATGAACAAGTCCAATAACTCTTTACTTCCAGTTTCCCCCATTTCCTGGTTCCCTTTATAGTGAGACTGTCCAAATTCAGACTGAGAGTTGGACGGGACCTCAGAAGTTGTCCAGTCTAGTACATACACAGAAGGGGTCCCCACTATAATGTACCTGATAAGTAGCTGTGCAGCTCTGCTTAGAGGGAGTCCAGGAGGTGGATCTTCTTGAGGTAGCCGCCCATCCAACTTCTAGACTGGTCTCACTGTTGGGAAGTTTTTTCCTTGACACCAAGCCACATCTGCCTCTTTGTAACTGCTGCTCGTTGTTCCTGGCTCTGTATCCTTGGAAGAAACAGGACACATCTGATTCCTCTTTCGCAAGACAGTCCTTCAAATACATGGGCACAGCTATCATGTCCCTACTGCGTATTTTATTTCAAAAGTTTTATTGATGTGTTTGGTTTTTGCATGACAAACTTTTACAGATTACTTTCACTTTTTGAGGCATCTCTTGTTAAAAAAAAAAAAGTAAAACAGGTAAGTAAAACTAATAATAGTAACCATATCCAAAAGTGCATGTAACATTTCACATCCTCACTGATCTATTTAAAAAAAATCTATTCCTCTCCCTTCTACCTTCCTGCTACCCCATTGGAAAAAAGAAAAATGCATAATCAAGCAAAACAAATTCCCTAAATGGCTATATACCTACCTATATACATATATATTCAGTGCACATGTATGTATGTGATACACACACACACAAACACTTCATATCTCATTTTATAATCTAAATCTATTACCTTTCTGTAATGGATAGCATGTTTCATCATCAGACCTTTGGAGTCATGAAAGATCATCATATAAACAGATGAAGAATGAAATGAATAGAATCAGGAGACCCAGTTTATATGATAACAACAACAGTGTAAAAACATGACTGAATGATTTCTTTTCCAGTCTAAATATTCTCAGTTCCTTCAATTAATCCTCACAGAATCTGGACTCAAGCCCATCACCATCCTCCTAGTCACCTAGGCTCACAACCTAAGTATCACTCTCAATTCACTATTGCTTATCCCACATATCCAATCTGTTGTCAAATCCTGTTAATTTTTCTTTTGCAACACATACAACCTTTCCCTCCTCTGATGCTGCATCATGCAGATCCTCGTTTCCTCACAACTGAACTATTGCAATGGCCTGGTGGGTCTCCCTGCCTCAAGATTTTCCCCACCCTAGTATATCCTATCAAACTGTCAAACGATCTTCCTAAACTACAGGTCATACCCCTGTTCAATAAATTGCAGTAGCTCCCTATCAGCTCCAGGATCAAAAATAAAGTCTTCTATTTGGCTTTTGAAACCCTTCATGATCTGGGCCTCTCCTGTCCTTCCAATCTTTTTATACTTTAGTTCCCTCCATGATTTCTACAATCCAGTGATACTGGCTTAATAATGTTCCTCAAATAAGACACTCCAGCCCCCGACTGGGCATTTTCACTGACTGTCCCTCCCTGTCTACAATGCTCTCCTACCTCATCTCTGCCTCCTGGCTTTCCTGGATTCCTTCAAGTCTCAGCTGAAATCCTACCCTCTGCAAGATGCCTTTCCCAGTCCGTCTTAGTTCAAGTGCCTTCCTTTTGAGAGCAGTATTCATCCTTGTGTATATCTTGTTTGCAGGTAGTTTTTGCGTATTGTCTCCACAATTAGAATGTAAGCTCCTGAGGGCAGGACTGTTTTTGCCTTTTTTGTTTGTATCAGCGCTTAGCACAGTAAGCTGGCATATAGCTAGTGCTTAATAAAGGCCTGTAGTTGACTGACCATCCTCATGGCCCTCCTCTGAATGCTCTTTAGCTTATGAAAGTCTTTCTTAGGCTGTGGTGCATCCAAGTGAACAAAATGTTCTTTAGGCAGGTTGACTGGTGCAGAGTGCTGAGGAACCATTCCCTCCTTAGATCTAGGAATTTAGGCCTCTCAACACAGTCCAAAATGTCATTTGCTTTCTTGGCTGCCACATCATACCACTTCACTCCTATTTCTGTGATTCTGTTCTTCCAGCAATATTGAACAGGAATCTTATATCTAAGTATCTAACAGTTAAGTTAATGTTTATAGATTATATAAAAAAATTATGTGCTTCTTAGCATCCTCTCTCTAATTTTCCACTACCCTGCCACCAGAAGGAAGCCTCACAGGCCTAAAGTTAATATTTCATCTTTCTTTGCTTCATAACAATAGCCAAATAATTCATCTTCTGGTAGGCAGCTGACTGGTAATGGACCCATCTGCATATAGTGAGCCTACTTCTTAGAAAGCAGACACAGTTCATTCCAGGGACCACACTTGACGCTTTCTCAGAATAGTACAACATAGGTTTCTGTTAGCCACTCTGAGAACTTAAGTTCCTTTGTATAATATCTGTATAGCATTTTTTTTACTTTTGAATATGGTGAGTTCCAAACAATTGACTTAAAAATGAACTTTACAATACAGTCTATTGTCCCCTGCCCTCTCTGGTTGTTACTACTGCTACCTCCTGGCTTGGCTCCATACAGGGACAGGTGGCAAGTGCAAGGGCTCCTTTTGCTGACTTTCCACCTCTCCTTACATCTCTCCCATAGGGACATTTTATGAACCAAAGAGTCTCTCAGACTGAGGACAGTTTAACATGGGGAAGTCTAATTAAAGTTTTGACATGCACAGACCTTGAACAGGGGTCAGTTTTTTCCCTTGATTTTGAAAGTTCCCAGGCTACAGAATCTAAAAAGAAAATTAATAATCAGTTAAATATAGTATTACATGCAGAAGGTATCCTGAAGGATTTAGAGTCATACAGAGGGCCTAACCATGAAATACAATACAATACAATACAATACAATACAATACAATACAATACAATACAGCATCTAGCAGATGAGAAGTTGTAAGAGAGGACATGGGATACTGTTATTTCACTAGTATGCAAAGGAAAGAAATTTTGTCAACTTTCTTAGATTATAGACAACATTGTGAAGTCTTTGATGAGCTTTAACAAGCATTCCATGTCTAGTGCATCACCTAGAGGGAGAGCAGGCTCTTGCTAAACAGTTTGTGAAAAGTTTTCAATTCATACTCTGATTTGATGTCAACTCAAGATGACGAATCATACCACACAGGATGATTTCAGCTACTTCAGAAGAAGACCAAGTCATATGAGGATTAATACCATTCCAGCAGAAGGAGAAAATTAATTATGTAATTATTTGGCAAATTAAAAGTGTATTTTTTGCCTGGAAACCCCAACTTTGAAAACTTAAGTGATGCCAAAACAAAATTAGATTAAATGATGAAAATGTATCAGAAGATACAACAAATTATTTAAGAACCACACTGAAAACACTTAAATACAGAATCAGGTTAACAAAGAAAATGACAGTATCTTTCTGCTTGAAAGTAATGAGTATCACCATATTCTATGACCAGATATATCCAGTAGGAGAATTTGCTGAAACTTTAAAAATATATACAAAGGGCATATCAGAGTCCATAAGAACCAGTTTCCTAATAATGTAGAAGACCTTCTAAGTGCTTTCAGATAAACAACATAACATTTGGATCTAGACACTACATCAGAGAAAATCGAACAGGTTTATAGAATCATAGATTAGAAAAGGAACCTAGAAGTTATCTAGTTCAACCTTTCATTTTACAGATGAAGAAGTTAAAGTTCATTAAGATTAAGAGACTTACCCATGATCACACAGGTAGCAAAAGGCAGAGATGGAATTTGAACCCAAATCCTCTGACTCCATGCTGTAATAACAGTAACCTGGAATTAGTAACTTCTGAAGAAAGAGTATAGCATTCTATTACTGAGATAGTTTTTCTAGCAAATGCAGTTACTACCAGATTCATTCCTGCATTTTTCCTTTTCTTCCTCTTCCCCCTTTCTTAATCGTATTCTTGTTCTTTTCTCCACCAAAATCAATAAAGTTATAAACTGTAGGAAGTTCTTCCTTTCAACATGATCATTTAAAGCAATTAATTATGCATATCTCCACTAAGAAAAATTCTGTGACTTGAACTAAATTTTTTAAACATGGATTTTTGGATAACTAATATTTAATGCTTCCTCTGCTTAGAAAAAACTGCCTAGTTCTTCAGCTTAAAAACTCTTCAATGACTTCATTTTCTCTTCCTACTTTTTAAAAAGTATAACTGAGGCCATAAAGTTTAAATTAACTGTTGTACAAAATGGCACCCAACACAAAGATTTTTTAAATTTAGTTTAAAATTTTAAAATATAAGTATTTTAAATATAAAAAAATAAAAATAATAAAATTTGGTTTAAAAGTTTTAAACAGTTTTGTTTGCTTTTTGATTTGGGAGGCTGTATGTTGTGTGTTTACTTTTTATTAATTAATGTTAAAAACTGATCTATACACAAAGAATTGTATATGCATTTTCATGTCTAAAGAATGGCTATTGATCATAAAATAAAAACCAAAGATCATTTGTTTTAAAACAAAACAAAAAAAAAAGAATCCAATATATATATCCAATATAGACTGTTCTTGACTTTCCCTCGAATATACTGTCAGAGAAAAAATCCTTCCCTGTATCATATGTGTAGATATTTACCTTTATTTGCTTTTGTCTATTTTAGGTACCAGTATCTATGGAGACAACTTTCCAGATGAGAACTTTAAGCTCAAGCATTATGGCATTGGATGGGTCAGCATGGCAAATTCTGGGCCAGATACCAATGGTTCTCAGTTCTTCATTACTGTGACCAAACCTACCTGGTTGGATGGAAAACATGTTGTATTTGGGAAAGTCATTGATGGAATGGTAATTAGAGGGCTTTTTAAGCATTATTTTAATGAGTCATGTTATATAATTTAATTTTAAACATGTTTAACAGTAAATTTATCAACCTTGTTTGACCTCTTCTTTAAAAATTGATTAAATTGCAGATAATACCTTAATTGTGGAAAGTGAGGAGAAATTCTAGTAATTGAAGTTAAAGACAGTTGAGCACTTTATGAGAAATATAGAAATGAATGGAGGAATGGAAGATGCATTGTACCAAAAGAATCTGCATTTTCATCTCAAAGTCATGCTAGTGGCTTTGGAGTCATATGTATAGCTTTCAAAAGTTATGTTTAAAAAGTGAATGTGAATGTGTTCAGCCTATTCAGATTCTTAGGAGTAGCTCACATTAAGCATGAATAATATATTCATTTATTTATTTACAACTCTTTATTTAGCATAGATTTATACTAGCTATAGCTGATATTATTTATTGTGTATAGATCCAGTTCTAAGTGGGCAGATTAATTTTTTTCAAATTACCTTTCAGATGTCCCATTGGTATATCTTAGGAAATACAATTATTTTGATAATTTTGTTTTGAAATTTGTTCTGTGTCCCATTACTTTATGTTTGTGCTTAACTTGTAATATCCTCATAAACCACCATCATGAGTTGAAGCTACCTGTTAAGTCTCACATTGTGTTATGGCATGCAAGTAGAATTCACTCTTATGAAAACCAAGTGTTTTTAAATTTTAAAGCAAAAGCCAACTTTTTGTCACATGGGAGATACCTGCCTATTCCCATTTGTGCTCTCTGGATTGAGATTATGCTTTGGTGATTTTTTCCCAAACTTTGGTTTGAAACTAAATCAACATCTCTTCTCTCCCTGCCCTACCTCTTTTTTCTAGGCTGTGGTGCACTCCATAGAACTCCAACAGACAGATGAGCATGACCGTCCACTTACAGACTGTGTAATTACAAATAGTGGCAAGATAAATGTAAAAGACCCTTTTGTGGTCGAAGTTAATGACTGGTAACAACTTGAAGAAGAGAACAAAACTGGTATTAACTCCCAGGGGAAACTTTGGGGTATTTAGAATAACTTTTTTTTTTGTTCCTTATTTTTTCACAAAATGCATAGCAAATTTGTTCAAGAACCAGGAAGCAGTAGCACAGATCACACAGAAAAAACTTCTAAAAAATTGTTCATTTCAGCAACTTGGCACTTAGGAGAGTGCTGAGAAAGAATAATAGAAATGTGGGCTTATTGCTAGTGCTATTTACTAAGAAATTTTTGATGCAGAGAACTTTGTATGATACTAAGGTGTGAGGAAAGCCTATCATAATGTTATGTTTCTTTTTAAGTCTATGTAAAAATAAGCCAAAAAGATAGTAACCACCATGCTGGCCTGCAGGGTTGTGTGCAAAAGGTTTCAACATGATATTTAAAGCCCCATTGTTGGTTTTGTATTTAAGTACCAGTTCTTTTCAGCTGAAAAATAAAATCAAATGTATGTTACAGCGATTTTTTTTTATATAAATAAAAAGTTTGATAATTTATATATTAAAAGTGTTATTAAACAGCTCTTTTTTTGCTTTTTAAATTAAGAAATATTTAAGTGCCTTAAAAACAAAGAACACTCATTATAATTTATCTTTTAGAAAAGTGAGCCATTTTGCTTATACTGTATGCCAAAAATACTGGCACAACAAAATAACTTGAGGGAACCGTGCTGACTGTCTCTGTTGGCCTTGATCTGCCCATTACAGATTTGGATAGTCTGTTAGGGCGGAACAAAGATAGTAGTGGGAGAAATACTAAAAAAGTATCTCCACAGAGAAAAGACACTCAGAGAAAAAGTGGTTGACGTGTCTTGTTTTCCAGCACCAAAATTGCATGAGGGCTTGGAAGTTAAAAGCTGAGAAACCCTGGTCCTTAGGATATGGTAACTGGGATAAATACATATTGGCTAGCTATGGTATAGATGGTAGAAATGCAGATTTTATCACCATGAGATAGATGTGAGTGATCTCACTGAAGAGCCCCTCTTTTGGACCAGAAGGCTAGGTAAAATTAAGGCTCACAAGATGGCTGAGCAAATTCCATAACAGAACTGAGCTCAGAGAAGAGCTGATATTTGGACAGACATGTGGTAAGATCTGAGAGACCTCAGAGCTTGCACTTCCTTCTCCTCCCCGCCTTTTCTCTCTGGTTGGACCAGCTCACCTGACCTGCACTCATACTGTCATGTCAGTGAAAGTTTCAGAGGGGGTGGCAACTACCCAGAATATGCTGGTAAATATTTAACAACTGGCTGTCTGGGAAAAATATATATGCAAGGCATACTTTTAAGTTTAATTTAAATTATTAACTTTTTCTCCATCACTTTCTTAGGTCTAGTGTCAGGGGTGGGGAACCTGCAGCCTCAAGGCCACATGTGGCCTTCTAGGTCCTTGGGTGCAGCCTTTTGACTGAGTTCAGGTTTTACAGAACAAATCCTTTTATTAAGGTGATTTGTTCTGTGAAGTTTGGATTCAGTCAAAGGGCTGCACTTTAGGACCTAGAGGGCCACTTGTGGCCTTGAGGCTGCAGGTTCCCTACCCCTGGTAGACAATTAACAAAACAATGAATTAAGCCTTAAATTGTAGTGTTTGCTGATTTCCAAGTTATAAATGCTCACAATAAAACTGAATGATTGGCTCTGCTGAGTTAGTTCAAGCTGGTCTCAGTACACTCCTGCTACTACCACAGCTTGCCCTTCCTACCACAACTCCCTTGAACTTAGAGGATTCAATGGTTACTTTTGGTAGGAGGAATACACTCCTACTATTGTACTTTTTATCTCCTGAGCCCCATCCAGCGTGCCTTCCATTTAACAAATAAGCCAAGATGAAATCCAGTCAGAAACATCTTCAGAAGACAATTACTGTTATTCCTACAAATAACAGAAATAACATCCCTGTTAGCCCGTAAGCCAAGGACACACTATCATACCATTGATACATACAATGTCTGAAGGTGGACACTGGGCCAAACTTATAGAACAAGGAGGTACACGTGTAGGGAACATGTGCTTGGAGCAACCTGCAACACGGGATTGGCCTTGATTTCCTTTTTTTTTTTTTCCCCCATCAGGAAGAGACTTCACTGGTGGGTGAGGTTACTTCTCTGCTCAAGTTGCTTCTTTTCTGTTCTCCTGCTGGGCAGAGGAACCTCTTTGCTGGCTGCTTCATTTGTGTCATCTTCTATGCTGTGAAATTAGTGTTTTCATCTTTTAGCAAAAATAGGAACCCTAAGCCAAGGATCTACAGAGCTTTTCTAGGTCTGCCCCATGATTATGCTCTGAGAGGTTTCCAATTCTCATGCTGTAGGTTGAAGTGCAAGGAAAACCTTTCCTCTTTCAGTCAGATCTTCCAAGCTCAGCTCTGACCTTAGCTCCATTCGGGTGAGTTCTTCTGAGCTCTGATTATTCTGGAAGCCCAAGCTCACCTACCCTAGTGGTCCAAATCAGGGTCTCTCTAACACGAGCATTCATTTCTATCTCATGGTGATAAATCAAAATCCACATTTCTAACATCTACAGTATAACTAGGTAACATATATTATCCCAATGTGACCACATAGTTCTGTGGACTGGGATTTCATAGCTATTAACTTAAAGTCCTCATAAAATCAATTTCCAAATTTAGTGATAGGAAACAAGAAACTTCAACCATCTTCATCATTTTCTCTGAATGGTTACCATTTTCACTGTTTCTTTGACAACTGTCCTTGATGTCATCCTTTCCCATCAGCAAAACTATTCATATCTCAAAGGGATACCCTTTTTTATATGGGTGGGGGGGAGTCCATTTATTATTTTTTGATTTTTACATGGCATAACAACATTCTTTCAAAACTCCCTTGAAACACTGAAAAGATGATGACATCATATATTACAACCTTATTCCTTTGCTTGGTGCATTATACTTATTATACTTAATTACATTTTCAGTTTTCTTATTTATATGTAATGCCACTTCTAGGGCTATGCCCCTAACTCATACGCAAGTTAGACTGACTATTCCAGGTTTAGGGCACTGTGTTGGTCTGTCTTCCTAAAACTGTTGCTCATGTACTGGCACATTTACCATTAACTGTATGCCATTTACACGAACAGCTCAAAATAAAGTAATTTTCTGTACTGGCAGAAACAGTAACAATAAGAAACTATCCCTACCCCATAAACCTAGGTTACACTCTTACCCAGATAACAAAAGCATTGGTGGGGACAATGGCACCCACATAGAGTACACCAGGAAAAGCATCACACACATAAGGAACACACAAGGTCAGGACAACTCACACCCCTGTCACTACTGGGCCCTTTGTTTTTTTTACCCCCCATGATGTCTCACACTCTTTTGTAGCATGTGTCACTCCACAGGTTCCATGTCCCTGCTCAAGTTTCCATAACTTAACCCAACTTTGTAGATGGATTCTTTGTGCCTACTTTCTGCTGGTAATGGAGTCTACTACTGGGTAAGTTGCTCTGTTACAAAATGCCATTTCCAGTGGAAGAGGGAAACAGAGGAAAATCCTCCCTCTTCCCTTCTGCACTCTGGAGGAGGTGAAAATGGCTTCCTCTCAAGAGCTGGTTTATTCCTTTAGCTAGCTTTCTTCTTGACTGCCATAGATGACTGACTTATTGTTGCTTTTTCAGAGAACCATGGAAATGTCTGATTCTTCAGCTAGCAAATGGCTAGCCTCCTTAAAATTCTATGAAGTTGATAGAGGAATTTATCCGCACCTCAGAAAAGTATAAAAATTTCTTTACACTTCCTTTATTCTCATCCTTTAAAGTCAGAAAAAGGTGAATCATTTTATAAGTTACAAATGTACCAATTCCACTTTTGAATTCTTTATGATCTGAATGGTTACTCAGAGTATGAGTTACTTAAGGTTTCACATTCATTTAAAGCTCTGAATGCAACCACTTACATTTTTAATACCTCATTGCCTCTGTTACCTGCCCCTTACATCCTCTATTTCAACAAGTAGAAGGGTTACTACACAAAAAAAAAATTAGGATTAAGGTTCAAGAAAATGGATCAAACATGAAAGGGCCCTATTCCAAACACAGACTCGTCTACAACGCCATACCAGGGATGGGGAACCTTCGGCCTCAAGGCCACATGTGGCCCTCAAGGTCCTAAAGTGCAGCCATTTGATTCTAAGAGTTTGGAATCCGTCAAAGGGCTGCACTTGAGGCCACATATGGCCTCAAGGCCGCAGGTTTCCCACCTCTGAGCTATACACTTATGGGATCTGGGGGGACTTTAGAACACCACAAACCCTCTGGAGCCAAGAGGTTATTTTAACCTTAGTAGCCAGAGGGAAAGAGAAAAAAAACACAGGAGTCTTTTGCATGTACAATCAGTTCTGAATCTAGAACTGCTCAAAAAGATTTTAATTATAATCTCACAAGGGAATAGGAAATACACACAGAATACCCATGTATGCTCTGACACAGAGCGCAGTTTCATCCATACCTATACCTGGAAGCAGGGTCCCCAAGCACTCACATGTTTGAAGGAATGGGCCCTTACTGGCCAATCTTCTATTATACAGAAATTCCTTCAACACTATCCTCAATAAGTGGTTATTCAATTCCATTTAAAGACTACTAGTAAGAGGAAATTCTCCAATTCCTATGGCAATCCATTTTGCTAATTGTGGAGAGGTCTTCCCTTGTACCAAGATCTACATCCTGTAATTTCCATCCATTAGTTAATATCATTGGTTCTGGGATTAAGCAGAACACACTGAATCCTTCACATGACAATACTTCAAAGAACTGAAGATAGCTACTGTGTCCATTCAGGTTATACATCCCTTGCTAAAAGTTCTCTTCTTCAGATTAAGTATCCTTGTGTCCTTCAAACAGTTCTCATATGGCATAGATTTCAGTTCTCTCACTATACTAGTCACTCTCCTCTGGACTCACTCTGGAAAGCAAATACTTCTAAAATGTGGTATCCACAACTGGACACTACTCCACATATGCTCAGAGTAGTGTAGAGAACTCATGGTACTATCACCTCCAATATGCTGGAAACTATACTTATATTAGATGGCATTACTTTTTTAGTAATCATATTATATGACGAACTCACATTAATCCCACAGTCCACTGATACCCCCAATTCTTTCTTCTTTCCTCTCCCCTAGAATTCACATTATTTTTTAAAAGCTTATGTGTTAGGCTTTACATTTGTTCTTATCAAGTTTCATCTTATTATATTTTGCCTGGTTAACAACTTAGCCTGTCTAGCTCCCTACTGTTTTATTCCTTATTGCTATAATGTTAAGAGTTTAATTTATCTAAGAGTGTTCTTCCTTGTCAGGATCCCATCTATTCTTTCCAGGAAGGGAATGTACTTGTAAGAAAGCATCACAGACTTGGGGTGGAAGGCATGTTTTGTACCAGTTGTTCTTACTATACCACCTTAGTAAATATTACTTTTGAAACTATTTAA